AGGAGGGGAAGTCTCTTCCTTAACATTTAAGTGTCAGAGGTCCTGCACAACTTCACTCTATAAAAGATTTTTGGAAAAGGAGAGTTTCAGTTTGGCAAACATATAGGAAATGAAATGCCTTAAAATGTTCTCTTCTTATACTAGAAGAGAATTAACACACTGTATTTGACAGCTAATTATATGAAGGCAAATATACTAATAGTTATCTCAAACTGGTGCGAAGTGGCTCATTTCTTGAAGGCAGTGAAATCATATGCACTTATTGAAAATCTCTCTTTAGAAAAGTTCTAAGTTTCCAAACATAGAGAACGATGGAAAAAATGGATGTTGCTGCTGAGCAGATGATAACAGGAGGTAGGTAGCATGTTTTCGCATCTTCACCTCTGTTGTTAATGTATGCAGTGGCTCATCAGAGGTAGCTCATGTTAATTTATTCCTGCACACCTGTACAGGGCTGGAAGTCAGGTAATCAGATAGGCAAAAACTATACATCTCTGCTTTTTAGCTACAGCTACCCAGAGGCCTATATAGGAACAAATTTAGTTCTGGAGACATCAGCAGGTTTTAATAAACCAAATACAGATGTCTTCTTCCATACAAATCAAGAAGTTTACATGTTTAAATCTGGACTGATTTAACTAGCAATCAAAGAAAAGGTTCACACTTGGCACCAATGGTTGCCTCATATTTATTTATAAATCACCCTAAACAAATATTATTTTGTTTTTAAATTTGTGCATGGGGCTGAATCATCTTTCCTACACCTTGAAGATTAAACATACATGCTTACCTTTCTAATAAAATTTAAGACAAACTTTGGCAATCAGTGGCCACTATTCTCAGAAGGGAGGAACAAAGGTGGTAAAGATCATGTTAGATGTAAAACAAAGGGATACATAGTTCTTTGTAAGCAGATCACCTCGTTTTTGTGTGCAAAGTCTTCATTTTAATTGAGGGAGTTTTAAAATTGCCCATCACTAAAAGATATAGATTTTAAGGTATTAGCAAATGATAAGAAATTCTAGGGAAGAGGACCGGAGGGCATTTATTTGTTGTTGTTGTTAATAAAAACCAAATGCAACCTATAAATAACTTAACATGAATGAATACACAGGTGATCCATGGCCACTCAGGCCAGGGATCAAAATTCAAGACACATGATGAGAAGTGACCTAAGGTAAACCAGCCCCGCTAATTCTATGACACGTCTCCAAGAAAAGTCCCTTTGGGAAGACCAGGTTCTAAGCCAGTTATAATTTCTTCTTTCCTGGGAGTTCTTCATGTGCATACTTCAAAACGGAGGGTCAGCTTCCTGATCCTTGAAAGAACAGTATCTTAGTAGCAGAAAAGTCAAGGGATAAACAAGAAGGAAAGAAGGGTGTTTAGGGGAGTGTCAGGTCTAACACTACACCACATTATCAGTTTATACTTAAACACTTTAGTAATCACCTTATCATGCTACAGTTCTTCACAGATAAAATAATTTACATTTCACTTCCATAACTCAGAATAAAAATTACTCCTACAGCCACCTAGTGACTGGATGAATCGATCTTTGTGCATACCGTTCTCTGTCATTAGCGTGGAATGGTCCTCTTTGCTTTTGAATTTATTACACTCACACTCAGTCACAACTGTATAGAAAAAGGACACCTTTGACACTGTGCTTAGAATCTTCAGCCCTAACAAACCATGCACGTAACCCCACCCCCCACCACTTCTCCCTTCGTATGACTTTAGACAAAGAACATTCTTGCTTTTCAAAAAGCGTTCAACTTGATCTTATAAAATCTAGAAAGACCATAAGCAAAGACCTGGAAATCTCTAATTGCCAAATGTAAAACACAGCATTTAACATCTTTCTACTTACATCTTACTAACTAACATGTCTACTTGGAGACCAAAAATGCAATTCCCTTGTGTACAGCCATTTTGGAAAAAGCCCAAGAAGATCTGGGTATCACTCCTGTAAGGTGTTCTAAGACCAAAGTTAAGAAGACTGCTTTTATAAACAGAAGAAGAGGGTTATTCTGTTAGTTTTATCACTACACATCCTGTAGCCTTGCACACTTCAGCCCCCACTCAAAATCCCCTCTAATGCTTTATTTGCACAAGGAAGACATTGTGGAGTCAAGGATGGATGAATCAAGACTCTGGGGAAAGGAAAGAAATAGGGCTGAGGACAGCAGGATTAAAGGCAAAGAAGGGTTTCTGTTTGGGAAAGTCTGTTGGCTCAGAGAGAGGTAAGAAAATTTGTCTTGGCTTCCTTGTGAATTGGAGAAGAAGAAAAAAGCAGGGACCCCAAATTCCTGGGGTTCTCGTGAATAATACAGCAAAAGTGAAGAGAAAAGGGGAAGGTAAGTCTAAGTGGGAGATCAGAGATGTGGTCCAAGAGGCTCTGTGACGCAGGAGGTTAAGTGACAAGTTACCATTAGTGGAAGAAGTGATGAGAACTGGTTGAGATGGGTGTACGGTTATGTTTGAGTTCACTCTGTGGAGATGCAGGAAGAGGCAGGGACCCCAGTGGCATCCCTGTTTCTGGTTACATGGTGGTAGCTATGCTTGCAACATATGTTAATTCGAGTCATAGACCCAACAAGGATGAACACTTTTTTTAAGGAAAGAAATGTCAAAATTAAAGTATTATAGTTTTTGAGAAGTTTTTAACTTGGGATCAAAAAATGTGAGTATTCTTGAAAAGCAAAACCTCAAGTGAGAATCAAAAAACTGTCTCTGCACGGCATTTTTTTTTTCAATTTGCTTTCCTTCATTTACCATGTGTTACACAACTACAGAATTATAAAGATTAGCTGTGATGTGAGATTTCACCCAGATGAAACCTATCACCTGTCTTCTGAGGTTTGCAGTCTCCTGTGTGACTGGACGCACATGGGAAAATATCTGTATTCTGCTTCCCCAGAATATCCCAGTTAGCCTAGACACTTCTAAATTTCCATATGGCTAGTCATCCGCCAAGTTCTTAATCCTTAGAATAAAAATGGAGATTGAAATATTCTCCTGCTATTAATAAATGTTTTTCCTTAGACAAACCACCCTTTCAACAGCACCTCCTTATGCATTAGGACATAAAAATACAAGTGCTTGTGTTTTCTAGTGGTTTGACATAAATGAAAGCACCATGCTTCGGGCATTGTAGCCTTTTGGTTCCAGAGCCATTTACGCCAGTGTTATGACTTGCAGTATTTTCAGCAAACCAACTAAAACTGTGATAGGAATTCATGCAAATAAGCTTAAATTTTGGCTTGTCTTCAAACACTCCATTTCCATAAATATTTTATGCAGGTTTTCATGAGTCTTTTATTTTTGTTAAAAAAAAATCCAATGCATTAACTTCATTATCACAAGTGCACTATTTCAAATATAAAAGAATGAGTAGTATTACTCACAAACTTGGGGGTGGGAAGTTGTGTATAGTATTATATTTTATTATTCAAATTGTAGCTACCTTATCTGCTGTATTCTGGTACTGTCAATGATAACTCAGAACTGAAAAAGACTTTGTGACTGTAAACCATTTTTACAGAACAAGGTAAATGGGCGTGGGGGAGAGGGGTGGGGAAGGGGAAATCTTAATATAGATTTCTCTTCAAAGCATGTTTTGAGTTGTATAAAGCGAGCCACTTATTTTTCTCAGAATTTTGCCTTTAATGGATTGGGCCTCTTGAATTTCAGTACTATGGAAAATATTCCTTTAACTTTTATTTTTAAAAAGATTTATCTTTTAAATATGAAGACAAAACCGAGTATTATGGAAGCAGGTCGCTACTTTTCAGTGGTACTTTTATTTTATGTTACTTTGTCAAAGAATTCTACCCAATTGATAAGTGTGAGAATTTGGGGGATGCCTATTTGGAAACTTCCTAGTTAATTATGTTTCTTCTACTATATTGATTTTTACCATGTAATGAAATTTTGTCTAAAGATATTTTTAAAAGACAGAGTAAAACCAAAAAGCCACATCGGACATGAGAGGAAGAATTAACTGGTGTGTGACTCTGGGTTGGGCTGGTATATTATGCAAATGATCTGCTTGCAAGCTTATCTCCGTTAAGTGTAGGATGACTGTGTTACCCACCACCGACCACCTTGACACATTCCATTTATATTACATTTTCTTTAGGATTGAAAAAGAACATTGGAGGTTTAAGACCAGCTGCTTCTGTTTAAACCCAACTGTTTCAGAGCTGTAGCCACATAGCTAAGGTCTGATGTCATCTTAAGGCTGGACATAAATATTCTAACTGATCCTAAAAGTATATGCATGCCTCCCCTTCTGTGCATAATTCCCACGACAGACTGTATTTTAGAGATATGCTCAAAGACACTGAAGTTAAAATAAAGAAACCCATACCACCATACCATTTCCCCACATTAAATAATTATTTTGGTCCCATTTTCTTCTGATATTTTCATGACTCTTAAAAGAATTCAAGGACACACTAAATACTCATGTAAGAATGATAACATTTCTGGTTATACCTACGGAGATGCAGGCTGTCTCGATGTCCTGGACCTATGGTTCTTTCCATCCGTAAATTTCTGTTTCTATATTGGATAAATATGTGTGTATGAAGATAATATATTGATTTAATTAAAAAGCCACAAGGCAAAGCAGAAATATATATAACAGAAGCTGCGGCTTCTAAGTGAAGCTTCATGAGGAAGCAGGGAACTGTGTACATAGTTAACTTATTCACACCTAGATGCATAGGAAAACATACATACACACATACACAGAGCACAGAGAAAAATGGCGTGCATTACTGGGTAAGATGGCATATGATTCTGCATGCTTAATCATAACAAGCACCAACCGCAACAATCCTTCATGAGCATGGCAGCTTGGTTATCTCATGGTTACTGTGGACAATCTTTACAGTGCATCAAAAACATCTAAGTTGGATTTTTTTTTAATGCTAAGTCCAACATGACTGGCACCCTCCACCCCCAGCAGGAGCAGCCAATGGAGATTTACTGACCTGTCTCTGCTTCGGCGAGAGGGGAAGGCAGCGTTGCAGCCAGCCACCGTGCAGACATGCATCTCTTTTAAGTGAACATTCCTGTAGTGGAGCTTCACACTGTAGGAGCTTTTGAAACTCTTCTTGCACACGTAACAGATTTTGGGGTCTGGGCTAGAACACAGGTCGCCTTCTGGGGAGAACTTTTGAGGGCTGCCATAATTCAGAGACGATGTAAAACTTTCATGCAGGGCTGCCATGCTGGCCCCCCCACCATTGTACAGTCCATACTGGCTCATGTAAAACATGTCGTATGTGGGGTCTGTGAATTCTTCCTTCACCTTGATGACATCCTGGTGAGAGGGCTCACTGTGGTTCTCATCAGGCCTCTCACTGCTCATCAGGACTTTTTCGCTCACTTCACTGTGAATGTGCTCATCCCCTTCCATGGACTCCTCGCCTAGTTTGGGCTCTGAAGACTCGGACTCATTCTCATAGTCCCGCTCAGGTTCTTGGTCCTCGGAAGTCATGCTGTCAGCCCTTCTTATTTCAGTCCTTGAAATGCACCGGGTCCTGCTATGTTTAGAAAAGTCCTTCACAGACATGCCTGGACTCATCTCCTCTTGGGAGTGGCAATGATTGTCATGGCTCACATCGTTGACCACAGCTGCACCATCGTTGGGGTCGTCGTCTTCATCATCGAACTCATCAGCGGTATCAATGATCTCCTTCTCAATCTTCACAGGCATGCTGGACTTCCTGGGCTTCTTCTTGGGTGCCAGGTCGGCACTGGGCTCATGAGTGGCCATCATCACTACTGGTGCTGTGGGCTCAGAGGGTGGTGGGGGGTGCTGCTCTATGGTACCACTGGCTGGAATGATGGGACTGGTCGGGAGGGAGGTTGGAGGACTCACCATTTCCCCCGGAGTGAGTAAACTTCTATAAAATGGAGGAACTGGCTGTACAGTCTTTAGCCCAGAAAACACCAGCTGGCTAGGCAGAGGATTCTGTAAGACAGGGTCTAGTGGGGGAGTGGTAAAACCCATTGGGGGCCGGCCAGGACTTGTGAGTGTGAGATTTGATTTTGTACTTGCTATGACAGGGGTGGCAGCTCCTGATGTGGCCCGAATTAAATCTTTGTCTCGGTTATTTCGTAGCATGGGCATGTGAAGGCGAGGATTAGGGTTTGCACTGTGGCGATTCCGGCTTCGGAGGGAGCTAAAGACCATGTTGCAACCTTCGATGGTGCATCGGTGTTTGATCTTCAGGTGAACAGCATTATAATGAATTTTGAGAGTACCTTTGTCATAGAACGTCTTCCCACATGCGTTACAGAACACTCTTCCTTTCCTGGAGGCTGACCCCATCCTTCTCATCCGGTGAATCCGGAATGAGCTTTTTGGGTGTTCAGTTTTGGTCAGATCACTGACTGGGGCAGAATTCTGAATGGGGGATACGCAGGCTGGCTCGGTTTTGGGCTCCACATTAGTAATGCTGGTCAGGGCATTTCTATTGGGTGTCTGGTCATTCTTATAAGGTGTGGGAGATACTTCAGATTCACTGCTCTCATTGTATTCATTCTGGGTTGAAAGGCTTGGTTCCCGCAGCCTCAGTCCCGGTTGCTCTAACAGTAACCCGTTTGGAGGCAATCCTAGCAGTGGGGCCGAGACTGGGTTTATGTACTGGAATGGAAGCAGAAATGCAAGGCTGTTGGGGATGTTTTCAAAGTGATGAATGCTGGAAGGGTTGCTGTTCTCTAGATGAGCAAGAAGGCTGGGACTCCGGGTGCGATTATTGCTCTCAATGAAAGTCCTTATGTCTGAGTCTGTCTTTGAAGATGGTACAGCTACGGCCTGCCCTTCTTTCTCCTGAATTGCCATCAGCTCTACAATGGACTTGGTTTCTCCAAACCGCAGAAACTGCTGAAGGGTGATGATTTCCTCTTCTCGAGACATGATGGCCCAGCGGTCCAGTACCTTGCCGGCAGCATCCTAGAGGCCACATCAAAGAAACAACAAACATAAACACAAAAACTTATTGATTGTGCAAAATTATTCAATGCAACTGAAGGTGCTCTGCCTGCTCATGAAACACTGAGAGCTACTGCAGAAAACACGCAAGCACCGTTCAGAAAAGTCAACCCACAAAGCAAACTTTTCTGCCATGCAATTGCAGTAATTAGAGTCACAGTTAGAGAAACAGATTTTAGTTTAATGTCAAAGCAAACAAAATGTAGACCACTGGGGCTCTGTGATCTAACATGCCTTCACTACTGCTATTTTAACAACAATGGTCTATATAGAATGCAACTATTTAGCACATATTAGTATAAGACGTGAACTCTTGCTGTGCAACCCAGTAAAAATGCAAAAAATGGTACCTGAATCTGTATTAAATAGTGACACCATAGGAAGGGATTAAGTACATTTTGTGAAATTTATCTCTTCGACACAAGCAGACATGATACTGGCTTCAATTCCTTTAAACAGGAGCTATTATACAACTTTCTGAATCAAAACGATGAAGAAAGGAGCTTTGCTGTCTGTGCCCCCATTACTAAACTGTATTTTTCTCTCTTTATCGGCTGTATTTTAGTGTCATTTACTAACAGACAATCTCATAAGGTAGAGTTAAGGAAAAACAGTGATTGTACTTTTCCTGAAAATTGACTGTAATCCTGGGATTCCAAGTTTGAGTTAGACTTTAAGTATTTGACTTTTTATGATCTTGTTATAAGTGACAGTTATAGATATTCAGAAAGTAAACATGTGATGGATTTAGATAGAATAAATGTGTAAAAATGTTGTCTCTTAACATCCTCCTCTGATAGCAAAGGGAGTCCACAGAGAATACACATCAGTAATCACCAGACTATGTGTTGTTAAATATACATTAAAAAGCATTTCACACTTTCATTTTTGCTAGTAACTATGAGATTTGCCTGGAGGTAGGACTTAAAAATCCTGCAATGTAATGTCAGGCAATCCATTTCAGCATGGGCTGGGAGAAATGTATTCAAATGCTTAAATAATGACTCCATCATTTTCTAGAGCACAGCTTCTTCCTAACCAGGATGGGAACTTTTGCAACCTCTGTGAATAATACTTGCCCCAACCTGCCTATCAATTTAAGAAAGCATAAAATCTTCTTAAAAAACAAAATTAGATACTTATTCATTACAAAGAAAAACCATAACGTTACAACGGAGAAACCTAGCAACACCACCTTAACCAAGTAACCAAAGTCAACATCACCAGTGTTAAGCATCATCATGTATCTTCTGATATATACTGAGAAGGGCACGTCATCTTTTTCTTGCCAAAATATGTATAACCTCAATCTAAATCATGAGAAAACATAAGATAAACCAAAATTGAAGGACATTCTACAAAACAGTGGCTAGTACTCTTCAAAGTGTAAAAGTCAGTAAAGATTTTTTAAAAAGGACAAGAGAATGGTTACAGATTGGAGGGGACCAAGAAAATAGGACAAATAAATGTAATGTGAGATTCTAGAGATACCAGACCAGAAAAAGACCCTTTAATGGGAAAACTCGCAAAATTTGAATAAAGTATCTAGATCAGTTAATAGTATGGTACCAACCTTAATTTCTTAGTTTCATCAACTGTGCTGTGTTTACATAGAATGTGTCATTAGGGGAAGCAGGATAAAGGGAACTATACTATTTTTGCAATGGAAAATTCTGTCTCATAGACCATTTCTATTCAGCTTTGTGATATCAAATTCTCTCTGGACCACAACTGTATGGTCTGAACCAAGACAACTAGTTTGATTGTAAGGAGATACTTATCATTTATTTAAATTACTTTACAAAAAAGAAGCTCTAATAGTTATGTGCCATTCCTGATAAGACTCACCCCAGCATTCTATCATTTTACATAAAGTATACGTGTGGTATGTGCATGTGGGTGTCCATTCCTACAAAAATTTTCCCTCTTTCATCTTGTAGATAACATGAGCCTTCAGATCAAATATCCTCATGCAGCTATCTGCTCAGAATACTTATATAAAGATATGTATATATGGTGACTCTGGGTGATGCTGGAATCCTGCAACAGCCAGTTTTTAAAAAGTATCACTCAAAGCAATTGGTCTCCCTTACATGCTTTTTCTGGAATAGGGCAAAGCAAGGGGGAGTGTTGGGTATTGTAGGTAAACAGAGAAATAAATTGTGATTTTGTATAGATTATCTCATTTGAACCCCATAATAGCTTCCAGAGCTCAGCAAATGTGTAACAGATGAGGGGCCAAGGGTGAAGGAAAGGGGGATGGCTGGTTGAGGTTGCCAAGATGCTAACTTGGGGTCTCGGACTCGAATCCAGAAATTCTAAGTTCATGGGGTGTAATGACTGTTGTCCATGTCTTTTCCCAGGTGGGCACACCGAGTCTGTGACAATAAGGAATAGGACTTCTGCATAGGGCTGGTCTCTGGAGCGCTGTAATGTCCTCCTCTACACCGTTTTTCTTTTACCATCAAATCCATTCTCTTAATTGTACTTCTACGGAAGCTTTTACTGTGGATCGTTTCTCAGGCTGCAGTGCGACCTGAGCAGCACGCAGTCATTCCTTCCCAGGTAGCCGGCACCTAAGTCCGCGTGTCGATAATGTACTTACACAGCTGGTGGCCTCTGGTATTAAAACAACCCTTAGAAACCATAGCAACTGATCAAACCCACCTAAGGCATCTCCTTTCCATCACCCTCCTATCTTGTCTTCCCCAGCAGAACACAGCAGTCCCATATGGTTTCTCTTTTCTCCTGGCCCGCCACAACGCCTGCCGCTCTTTCTAAAACCACTGCCTTTCAGACCTCTTTTAGTCCTGAGTAGCTGTCTCCGTTAAAATGGAACCGTTAGGTTAAACCACTTACTTCTGGTGGAAGAGGTCCAGGTAAGCAAGATTTAGAAATTTGCTGGTAGCCTGAATCATAAAAGTGAAGCTCCATTTCTAGTGGTAAATGGAAACAGCGATTTACAGTTACATAGAAGGACAACATCACATCTTTGCAAACAAATGTACTTGGGAACAGGACAAACATCTGCATTACCCACTCAAACTGGGCATCCAGGCAATATGAAGTGTCACAGATGTTCTTTCCAAAGAAGCCACCATTCATGTTTGATCAAGGGTATCTACTATCATCTTGCTCACAGAGAGAGCAACTGCAGAAAGAAACAAGTTGACTTTCTTATATAACATCATGGGTCTGCAAGCTCAATGCTAAGAATGACTATCGGTTTTAGCACATCCTTGGATAAACTGGTTGAATGGGATTTGGAAATCACCAAAGGGGAAAAAGGAAGGCCCGGGTTCTTTTTTCCTGAAGATCTCAGTGACAGAGATAAGCATGCTCTGGTGCAGTGATTCTCAAAACAGTGGCTTGGGACTCCTGTGTTAAAGCAAGGATTTCCATGAGTGGTCTATATGCTATTCAAAAAAGACCGGTGTCAGTTTTTTTTTTTTTTAACCAGTCTGCAAATAATTGAGAGTAGTCATTTAGAAGACTTTGAGACAATGTGACAACTGCTGCAGCAATGAAAAGTGTGATGATTTCTTTTTTATTAATTTCTTTTTATTTTATTTAAGTATTGGCTTAAAACTTAAGGGGTGGTGGGGAGGGGGGAAATGGGCCTTCCTCACAGATAATTCGAGAAGTACAGATCTAAAATCTTGGCCCCCGTGCCATGTCAAATAAACTTTACCAGAGTGAATAAAAGCCATAGAAAGAGTTAGGCATTATCACAGAATAAACATTAATAAAACAAAAATTCAGTCTGGTAGACCAGTATGAATGTCCTGACTGTTGACCAACCCGTAATGGGACATGGGTCTTGTGCAGGAATAATAAACCACAGCAGATTGTGTAACTGGACTCTGGTCCTTCTCATTCCATTTTGTAGTCTGTGAGTCAGTTTCTTAAGGCTTTCCCATTTGTAACCAGAGTTCAGTGACCTTTAAACCTTTACAATGGGAATTGTTATTTACAAAATGAGGATAATAAGATTTACCCTGTTAAGTGAAATGCAAGGTATTATTATATGTATTGATTTCTTGTGAAATAACCAGCTATACTATTAATTAAAAGATGAGTAAGACCAAATAATCCTAACTTATAAACCAGTTTTACTGGGTTCAGAAAAAGTATAAAACACTTAAAATATTTACATGTAAGTATTTTAAATGAAAAGATTTCCTTTTATTATTTTGCTGGAACTGGTGATTATCACTCAAATCTGGCACCTGTTTCTGTATGGCTCTGCAGAGTGCTTTTTAAAAATCTTTTTTTGTAGTAGAATCAACTGTCATGGTTTCAGTGGTTTTATTTAAGCCCATTCTTCATGTTAAAATATAGTATATGACCCATAGTTTTAAGATCAGAGTAAGGTTGGTTGGTTTTTCTTAAGGGAAAGGGACAGTAGAGCAGGGAAGGATGTAAAGAGATGGAAGAGGCACCAGATAAGACACTTTGGGATAATTAGATTGTCAGGTGACCTCAAGCCCACAGACTCCTCAGTCCAAGAAGAAACCCATCTGTGTTCATGGCAGGCCACAACCATGCCACAGTACAGAGGGAAAACAATGCCTTTCTTTCTGTCCACACATGTGAATGAGGGAGGAACAGTGAACACAGCAGAGATCTAGGACTTATTTGCTCTAGCATTATTCAAATTATTAAGAAATAAGCAAATAGCTTTTAACTCTAAAAAAGGCAGAGAATAGTTTAATTTTCTATGCTTATTACATGAACTTCTTGTCAGTCAAATTTAAGGCATATATTTTCAAAAATCCTAAAATGATTAGCTAAAAATATTTCCTGTTTGATATAATTTTAAATCTTTTAATTAAATGATACTGAGCTGTAGAGAATGCTGACCACCTAGAACAAAATCAGAGTTTTATGAGATATACTTTTTGATTTCATGTCTAGATTTGAAGTGTGCTATCTTAAGAAATTATTCCAACATAACCATA